ACGGGGTTTCACCATGTTGACCAGCATGGTCTCGATCTCTTGACCTCGTGATCCACCCGCCTCGGCCTCCCAAAGTGCTGGGATTACAGGCTTGAGCCACCGCGCCCGGCCCATACTCTGTTTTTTAATGTATATTATTTGTTAGATGAACACGTATGTTTAAGATTCAGCCAGGCATGGTGGCTCACGTCTGTAATCCTAGCACTTTGGGAGACCGAGGTAGGCGGATCACTTAAGTCCAGGAGGTGAAGACCAGCTTGGGCAACATGACGAAACCCTGTCTCTACAAAACATACAAAAATTAGCCAGGCATAGTGGTACGTGCCTGTAGTCCAGCTGTTTGGGAGGCCAAGCTGGGAAAATTGCTTGAGCCAGGGAGGTGTAGGTTGCGGTGCGCTAAGATCGTGGCACTGCACTCTAGCCTTGACGATGGGATTGAAGCCCTGTCTCCAAAAAAAAAAAAAAAAAAATTCACATACAGAAATTAACTGCAAATGGAAGGGGAAAAGGCAACTGTATTGGTTTAAAACTTGATTAAAGCAGTGGTCAGTGAGCTATCATCTATGAAAAACCTAGGCGTTTTAAGGTTGTGTTCTTCAAACTGCCCCTGGAAAAGCTTTTATCATTAGCATGGTAAGTTCTTCTTACCTTTTTGGTTCAGTGTATTTCTGTCTTCTGTTTCCCCTCCTTTAATCTTTGATGACAGGTGATCTCAATCAGGAAATAGTGACTGAGTGAAAAATAGTAGAGAAAGAAAGCCAAACAATGCCAGTTTTCAGAATGAGGATACTATAATTTTAGGTTAAAGTTGTCTGTGAAGAATCCTTAATCTTAGGGTTGTAGATGATAGTCTTAAATGTTTCATATATCTAAGTGACCCATAGACATAAATATTTTAAAAAAGACAAATTTAGCCTTCCCAAAGGTATCAGTTATTAAATTATTATTTAATTTCACAAAAGAAGCTAGTGAGTTCAACTTTCAGTTGAACTTAATTATTGCATTAAGTTTAGCTCTTGTTGACCTGATACTTGTTAGTTCTTAAATGGGGACTGTTAGGATTTAACATTTGATAGTATGGAACTACAGTAATAAGGAACTAAATGAGTTTTTACTATCTCAATCTCCAACAAATATTTTAACACTTATTTTTAAAAATTATACCTGTGCACTAAGAACATTTTGGAAATTGGAGAAAAAAATGTAATTCTACTTCATTAATTTATTGATTGCCATTCTGTATGCTTTCCCTTTACTACATACTTGTAAACAGGATTTTCTTTTATTTCATTTATTTATTTTTTTTAGACAGAATCTCGCTCTGTCGCCAGGCTGGAGTGCAGTGGTACGATCTTGGCTCACTGCAACTGCTACCTCCCTGGTTCAAATGATTTTCCTGCCTCAGCCACCTGAGTAGCTGAGACTAAAGGCATGTGCCACCATGCCCGGCTAATTTTTGTATTTTTAGTAGAGATGGGGTTTCACCATGTTGGCCAGAATGGTCTTGATCTCCTGACCTCCTGATCCACCTGCCTCGGCCTCCCAAAGTGCTGGGATTACAGGCATGAGCCACTGTGCCCAGGCAGGATTTTACTTTTATAACAATTGCTTATTGATTACCTAGTGTGTACCAAATACTTTTGTAAATTCTGGAGATACTTTGTGTGTGAGAGTGTTTCATTTAACAAAAACTACAAAGTAGTATGAACCCCGTGTACTTTTTTTTTTGTTTTTTTTCTTAGTAACCTTGCAGATGCAGGGCCTCAGAAATTGGGTTAAGACTCAGAATTGCTCCTCTCCAAAGAAATCTTTAGTAAAAGGGCAGAGATTTATACGATCTGAAGAGAAATCAGAGTATCCCATGTACTTATATAATGCAATTTCATTCATCAACCCTTGGCCCATCTCTACCTCTACCTGTTTGCTTCCACCCCATTGGTTGTTTTAAAGTAAATTCAAGACATCATTTCACCTAGAAATATTTCAGTATATATCTCCCAGTGGTGAGGACTCTGTTTTTAAACATAACCACAATATTATTTTCACATCCCAAACTCAAAGTTGTAACAATATAATTCCTTACATTTCTTTGTTTTCTTAGTAAATTTTTAAAATTTGGGGTTGATAAAATTATGTTTTCTAAGGTTTTTGTTTTCTTAGGTTTGCTTGATAAATGACTTCACCTCTCTGGATGGATTTGCCTCCTTTGTTTTTTCCTGCATTTTGAAGGTTAAACTGATGATCTGAGTCCAGAAGTAAAGTCTTAAATCCATGTTTTCTTTTGGATTTAGGAATCCTGTTTTATGGTACTTGGTGACCCTTTGTCTTGAAGTTAGAGACAGACTGATGGACAGTAACAGAATCAGTTGCTTCTTTTAGTTTGGGATCATACAAAAATACATGGTCTGGAACAGAGATGTGTAACTTCCTATTACATTATGGTTTTTTCCAGCTATACCCAGCCTTTCAAAATTATCCTTTTATCCTTTGCATTTTCTCTTCAGAGTACTTCTTATAGAAAGCAGGGATGCTACCTTGCACAGTTCCAGGGAGCACCATTCATATTGTGTTGTGGGGTGCCGTTCATGTAGATTATGATGTAAATGGTGCCCCTTTGTATAATGTGAATATCCTGATAGGCTACCCTTTCAACCTCTGTCTTGTTGCTTCCTTTAGTTCTAATCACCATGCACACAAAAATTCAAGTAACTCATAGAAACTTATTTAAATGGGGACAAAAGTTAGGTCCTTTTTGACCAAGCCTTCTGAACAGAGTAGTGTCATGCATACACGCCCACACTCAAATGCCTTAAAAATGCTCAGCTTTTGGAGGTCCTTTAAGATATATAGCTCTGCCAAAATATGCATATTCCTGTGAGGAGTAGCACACATTATTATAGCTATTTTTGCTTAAGTATAAATGAGTTGCAGGTCATTTTTGAAGAACATTTTGAGCTAATGAGAGGGAGAGGAGGAAGAGCAGGTCTTTTGGGAAACTGAGGGCACTGCACTTGTGTGGGTAGGCAAAGAGCAAAAAGAATTGCTTGGGGGTCTGTCCAGTCATTTTATCTGGGCTAGTTGAGAATCACCCCAGCATTTATGGAAATATCCCTTGGACTTTCTGTTAAGGCCTTCCAGGCTGATCCCTTTTTAAAGTCTGGAAATTTCTTTTGAGGCTTTTCTTCTAAACCTGGCATTAGAATAATGTAAGGGGAAGGATGATAGGGAGAGAAAAGAGAAGAGAAAAGCAGTTCCTACATTCTGCCTCTCAGATTAGTTTAATCTGCCTATTGATGAAGTTAATGTTAATTTAAAATGTTCACTATTGATTTAAGAAATTTAGTAAAAAATTTATAGTAAAAAATTTTTTTTTTTTTTTTTGAGACAGAGTCTTACTCTGTTGTCCAGGCTAGAGTGCAGTTGTACAGTCTTGGTTCACCGCAACCTTTGCCTCCTGGTTTCAAGTGATTCTCCTGCCTCAGCCTCCCTGGTAGCTGGGATTACAGGTGTCCACCATGACGACTGGCTAATTTTTGTATTTTTAATAGAGATGGGGTTTCACCATGTTGGCCAGGCTGGTCTCAAACTCCTGACCTCGTGTGATCTGCCGACGTCAGCCTCCTAAAGTGCTGGGATTACAGGCATGAGCCACCATGCCTGGCTAATTTTTGTATTTTTAGTAGAGATGGGGTTTCACCATATTGGCCAGGCTGGTCTTGAACTCCTGACCTCGTGATCCACCCACCTTGGCCTCCCAAAGTGGTGGGATTACAGGCGTGAGCCACCACACCTGACTCTAGGATATGTTCTTCAGTGAAAAGAACACGGTGTAGGACAGTATATATAGGAAAAGGGGACACATAAACTCTTGTTTGCTTGTGTCTGCATAGAAATCTTGGAAAGACCTACAAGAAATTAATCATAATGATGGTGTGTATGGGGATCCATAGGGAGGAGAGTGAGGCACAGAGATATATTTGAGGCTTCTTAACCTATACCTGTGTTCCTTTGTTTCTTTCCACCATTTGAATTTATTATTTATTTAAAACCAAAATAAATCATCTCTTTTAAAAGGAGAAATAAAAAATACTGTTTCTTATTCTTGGCTCCCTTAAAAGTCTTTTGTTAGCCAATCAGCAGCCCTTGGGGCTGCTCTGCTTATGGAGTCGTATGGAATAACCATTCTTTTTTTATTATTATTTTTAGCTCTTCTCTTTTAATTCAAAAAGAGGAAATATCTTTGCACTTTCAAAATTTAACACATCTAGTTAAATCAACTATTAATATTTACTTATATAATGTAGTAATGCAAAATGTTAGCCTAATACAACTTCCAGAGTGCTACTGAGTGTTCCATTACTTTCTTAATAAACTTGCTTTCACTTAAAAAGAGTCTCTTATTTTTCTGTTTACTGCATTTATTGAGTTTTCTGGATTCTAAAAAATTCAAATTGGGATTGATAAACACTGGCATTTTGGTTAGATTGTATACTTTATTCACATATAAAAATGCTTATAATTTGCTTGGCTGGTTGCAGTGGCTCGTTGCTATAACCCCCATACTTTGGGAGGCCCTGACAGGAGGATCACTTGAGTCCAGGAGGCCCAGACAGGAGGGATCACTTGAGCCCAGGAATTTTTATTTTTATTTTTATTTTTGAGACAGAGTCTTGCTCTGTTTCCCAGGTTGGAGTGCAGTGGCATGATCTTGGCTCACTGCAACCTCAGCATCCTGGTTCAAGCGATTCTTCTGCCTCAGCCTCCTTAGTAGCTGGGATTACATGTGTGTACCACCATGCCTGGCTAATTTTTGTATTTTTAGTAGAGATGGGGTTTCACCATGTTGGCCAGGCGGGTCTTAAACTCCTGACCTCAGTTAATCCACCTGCCTTGGCCTCCCAAAGTGCTAGGATTACAGGCGTGAGCCACTGCATCTGGCCAAGCCCAGGAGTTTGAGACCAGCCTGTGCAACGTAGTGAGTCCCTGTCTCTACAAAAATAAAAATTAGCTGGGCATGGTAGTGTGCGCCTGTAGTCTCAGCTGCTTGGGAGGTTCAGGTAGGAGGAGAGTTTGAGCCCAGGAGGTTGAGGTTGCAGTGAGCTGTGATTTCTCCATTGCACTCCAGCCTGGGTGATAGAGTGAGACCCTGTCTCAAAAATAAAAAAAAAACTCAAATTACGCTTGTAATCATGACTATGGGTAACACCATAGGCTACCTCCAAAGGCACTTACATGCTTTTCTGGAAGTGTCTGAGCAGTTTAAGAAAGTGTATAGGTTTGGTTTATGTTGTAAATGATGATGATTTGCCTTGTGAGTGTATTGATAACCGAGCGGCTCAAAACATTCATCATTTGTTAGCTTCTGGGCATATCTGAAAAAAGTAAACACTGTAATATGGAGTCATTTTCTACTTTAAATTTAGTGTGGCATGTTCTTTCTAAGTATGGTAGAGCTCTAGTAATTTTTGATGGTTAATTTAGGGGAAAAGCTAAATCTTACTTTCATGGATTAGGCATAATTAAGCATGTAGAAAGAAATATGCCGTTAGGCCTGTAATCCTAGCACTCTGGGAGGCCAAGGTGGGTGGATCACCTGAGGTCATAAGTTCGACACCTGCTTGACCAACATGGCGAAGCCCCGTCTCTGCTAAAAACACAAAAATCAGCCTGTTGTGGTGGCAGGTGTGTGTAATCCCAGCTTTTCAGGAGGCTGAGGCAAGAGAATTGTCTGAACCTGGGCAGCAGAGGTTGCAGTGAGCTGAAATTTCACCACTGTACTCTAGTCTGGGCGAAAGAGTGCGACTCTGTCCCCTTCCCCCCACCCCCCCAAAAAAGAAATACATCATTAGGATTTTCTCCTATCCTGAGACTTAGTTTTGAAGTTAAAATGTAAGTTTATATTAAGCAAGTGCTGTAAACATTCTTTATAAAAAGCAAGAGAAAATGATGTATAAAAAAGTAAAAGAACAGTCTTTTTCAGGATTTCCCCACCCACCCCTTAAAATTTGATTACAGGAATGGGGAGCTTTAAAGTAAATAACATAATTTTTTTTTTAGTATATGTGTTTTTGCTTTTTTTTTGAGATGCAGTCTTGCTCTGTCTCCCAGGCTGGAGTGCAGTGGCGCGATCTCGGCTCACTGCAACCTCCGCCTCCCAGGTTCGAGCAATTCTCCTGCCTCAGCCTCCCAAGTAGCTGGGATTACAGATGTGCGCCACCATGCCTGGCTAATTTTTGTATTTTTAACTAGAGACTGGATTTCACCATGTTGGTCAGGCTGGTCTGGAACTCCTGACATCGTGATCAGTCCGCCTCAGCCTCCCAAAGTGAGCCACCGCGCCCAGCTGTGTTTTTGTTTTATATTAGTTTTGATATGTTTACTTGTATTTCCAAAGGCCCCAGTGGAGTATTGATGGGGATGGGACTTGGAACTCTTCTGGAACCTTTGTATTGGCAGATGAGAATAAAGTTAGGCTTTTGGTGTATTTATGGTAAAAGCCTTTGAATTGAATTCTCAAGTGCTTTTAAGCATATCACTTTGAAATATGATCAATTAATCTTAATAGCCTGTAAATATAGAGCAACTCACTTAATTTAAGCTCTGGAACTTAGGCCATGTCTCTAGTCAGCTTGGTGAAACAGCAGTGAGCCTCCATCTGTGCTAACAATAGACATATTCCAAGCAAAATGTAGGCTGATGATACAGTGTTAAAACATTGTGGGTGGTAGGGGTTTCTGTTTACAGTTTACCTGAAATTTGAGTTGTAAGTTAACTGTTTTATTTGACAATGTTTTTATTTTATCTGAGACTTTTTTTTGGTGCTTCTGTACTTTCTGTAGCAAGCACATCTGGTTTCTAGGTAATTAACCTCACTGTGCTGAACCTGGACAGAGCTAAGATCTTGTTACAGCAACCTTTGGGTTTTGCAGGGGATACATTGGTCATGCTAGCCAAATGCTGACTAAGAAAAGGGATAGAAATTATGAAGAAAAAAAAAAGCCTTTAAATAAACTTACCAGCAAGGTAAAAGGGCAGAAGTTGGCTCTTTAGGTCAGTGTATATAGTATGTATCCTGGAGTTCTAACATCTAGTAAACAATGAAATTTTTATGCTTGAATAGTATGAAATTAGAAATTTGATCAGCAGTTGATACAAATTTTTAACAGACATGAATGATTGCTCTGAGCCACGAAGATAATCTTGTTACCTAGAAAGGTACTTTACTCTCCTTTCATAACCAATTCATCCTAAGACATATTTTTATTTTAAAATGCAGCTAACAAAAAGACTTACTTTGTATTTACTTTAAGGATCAGTTTAAGAATGACTTCAACATTATATTTAAATGCTGTGATAAATCGATATCAAAAATGAAAGACTAAGAAGGTTTTTGTTTAATATTAGCACAACTTGTATATTACAGTAAGATAAATTTCACAGTGAAGAATTATTTTAATTAAAATGTTAAGGAAGTCTGAAGCTGTATAAATTATCTGTTTGGTTATAATGCAGCTCATATAGTGATACCTTTTATGATGTTTTATATACAAATTAAAATTTTGATAATTTCTTGGCATTCTCTGCATCTACGTTCAAAGTCAAATAAAAATAATTTTGAACTATTTTATCGTTCTAAAAAATGTAACAAACTTTCTTATAAGTAACTATTTTTTAGCAGCCAATATCATTTGCACATAGAATCAGAAAGCTTTAGTCTGGGAGTCGCTTTGGTCTAGGTTTTTCTTTAAGAAAAATCCTTTGTTAAGACAGACCAAACTGCAGAAATGAAATTGCTCAGAGAAAATGAAATTAGCAAGTAACCAGTTAAAATAAAAAGGTATGGTTTACTCTAAGGTCTGGATATAGATCAGGTTCATGTAAAATGTAATGAATTTTCCATTAAGGCACAGATGGTAAGGGCGCTTATCAAACAGCACAAGGCAGTCTTCATATTTTCGTAATAAAATCCTACCAAGCAGTGAAACAAATACATTGCTTTTTTTTGGATATTTAGTAGGAGCAAAGCTTTCTGGTTGATTTTTCAGGGTAAAATATTTTCCTATTGCATCATAAGGACATGTACCACTAAATAAAAAAGATCATATAAACCTACCTCTTGTCTGAGAGGATGCTGTTGAAGCGATGGTATCGTCTGTTTGTAATGCAGTCTAGTGCACAGCCAAGATGGAGCTGTGCTTCTATTGGTCGAACCACAATGGAGCTGACAGTTTCCTCTGTGTTCATTTGCATTAAGTCTTGCCACCCTTAAGAGTAGATCATTCATAAACTTGAATAGAGCTGTCTGGGGTATCAACTGTCGCCCTTTCTCCTTTATTTTTTGTTCTTAAGCTAAATTCCTGTATAGGAATTTGTGAGTTACTAACAAATTGATGATTCCTTAGTGTTTCATTATAAAATTTCAGATCCTTCAGTAAATTCTTCAGTGCTAGGGCTGGAAGATAATGTCGGGAGAGGTAGTAACCTAGGAAACAAACAGTCCAGGTTTGCCAGCCTGGTATTTCCTCCAGGAAGTGTGCGTAAAATCTCATACATTAATTTTTCTTTTCTTGTTCTTCCTTTTCTTTCATTACTTGTTCCGTGTATAATTTTTGCCCTCTGGAAGTGATTATTTCCATGTGTTAGTTTGATTTAGGAGGAGTTATGAAGAAGAAGAATTGGTTTTCAGCTTGCCAAGTTGGAAGAGGGCTCGTTTAGGTAAAACACAGTACTTGTAAATGTACATGTACATGGCAAAGTGATCTCCAAGTTGGCTGTTTAGAGACAGAGTATTTTTAGTTAGTGCGTATTATTTAGAGTTGTGGTCTAAGCACAGCAGAATGAAGGTTTTTTATTACAGGAGTGGCTGTTACAACAGCAGCAGACTGGGTACATGCTATATAGACTTGCTTTTTGAAATTATAGATGAAGGCCTGGCGTGGTGGCTCATACCTGTAATTCCACCACTTTGGGAGGCTGAGGCGAGTGGATCATGAGGTCAGGAGTTCAAGACCAGCCTGGCCAAGTTGGTAAAACCCCGTCTCTACCAAAACTACAAAAATTAGCCAGTCATGGTGGCAGGTACCTGTAATCCCAGCTACTGGGGAGGCTGAGGCAGGAGGGTCACTTGAACCCAGGTGGCAGAGGTTGTAGTGAGCTGAGATCACACCATTGCACTCCATCCTGGGCAACAAAATGAGACTCTGTCTCAAATAAATAAATAAATAAATAGATAGATAGATAGATAAGATAGATAGATAGGATGGATGGATAGATAGATAGATAGATAGGATAGATGAATTGGTCCATTAGTTTCTGGGGCCATAAAAGAATGCATGGAAATATCTGTATTATAGTCATTAATTCAACAAATATTTGTTGAGTGTTTATTCAGCTTGGCATTGAGTTGGTAGTGGATGCTAGAGACATAAATAAGCACAACTGTGTGTGATTAATAATTGGCCATTTGTGTGGTGTTTGTCCTTAACATATTGTCATCTCTTTTTCATAGTCTTCCCAGTTAGTTGTTTATACAGTAGTGTAAATATTATTTTACTAAATTTAAACAAGAAAACATTAAATGTGCAGTCACAGGTTTCTGTACTTTGACACAATGGCCAGTTTCAGATGGAATAATCTGTGTAAAGGCTGTTTAATGAGTTTTATCACAGGGTTCACACTGGATTTGAATCTGTACTCTGTCGCTTACTACCCTCAATTTTATTATGTTTAAAAGGGACAGTAATACTTCTTAAGTTGGAATTTTGGGAGAGATTACATATGAATATTTACCATGGTATTTAGCGGATAATAAATATTAGTTACTTTTATTATTACACGTGTGCCAAATACCTTGAGAAAATGAACTATGCAGGTGATATTTCATAATTAAAATAGTGAATGGAAAAGCACCTGTAAGGCATTTTTAATGTTATTGTTACTTTAGACTTCAGTGTGCCAATTAATTGTCAAGATTGTAACAAAGTTAGTTTTAAAGGAAAATTGCATATGAAGTTTCATTTTAGCCTCAAAAAAGCATACTCAATAAAGACTTCACTAATCTCAAAGGAGTATTATATTGCCATCTAGAAGCTGTTCCTTTGGATCTCTGACAGTTGTTACATTTGACTTGTGGTTGTTCTAATGCAATCTTTTGTTTAAATTATTATTACCAACCTGGTGCCGGAGATTGGCTCTCCCCTTCCCTTTTACTTAACCTCTCTCTTTGTGGATCAGCCACATGGGAACTTTATAATATCTGATCTCATGCCTTGCTAATAGAATGTATACTTCTAAGATGTTTTTCTAGTATTTATGATGGATTTTTTACTGTTCCTGCATATGACTAATGGAATGCATTTGTGATGCAGTGGTGTAAGGTTTCTGCCTGTAGGAATGCAACAAAGTGATAGATGTTCTGAAAAAGTGATCTTTTTTATAGGTTTTTCCACACCAGGTAGAGAAAGAGAAGGGAGAGTTTCTCAAAGTGGGTAGGCAGTGCTGTGATGCTTTTTAAAGTAGGCATCCATGTTCATGCAGTAACAGTGCCTATGGCTTTTTACTTCTGATTTATCTGTAAAGCTTACTTTAAAATAATTGTGATATCTTTTTTTCTATTAGTTTCCACTAATTAATTCCTGTTTTTTGGTCTTAAATTGGTAAGCAGAAATTACCTAATAAGTGATATATTGAACTTTTCATCCCTCAGAAGCAGTCCACTCCTTGTGTTAGCTTTATGGATGGGATTGAGGATTGTATTGTTCCCTTGTTAAATAAACTATACTTTTGATTATGGAGCGAGCCTAATCAGAATTAAGAATGAGATAACTACTTTTCCTGAGGACTGAGAAGCAAAGAAAAAAATTAAAAAGTAAAAAGAAAAAAACAAGATAAAGGGGAAGGGGGCCAGGTGTGGTGGCTCACACCTGTAACCACAGCACTTTGGGAGGCTAAGGTGGGTGAATCTCTTGAGCTTAGGAGTTTGAAATCAGCCTGGGAAACATGGCAAAACCCCATCTCTACAGAAAATACAAAAATTAGCCAGGCATGGTGGCATGCGTCTATAGTCTCAGGAGGCTGGGGTGAGAGAATCACTGGAGCCTGGTAAGTCCAGGCTGCAGTGAGCTGTGATTGTACCATTGAGCTCCAGTCTGGGCAATGGGAATGGGACCCTGTCGCAGAAAAAAAAGAATGTGATAAAGATATCTTTTTTTGTTTTTGAGACAGTCTTTCTGTGTCTCCCAGGCTGGAGTGCGGTGGCGTGAACAATAAGGATACTTATAAAAAAAACTGTGTTTTAGTGCTTTTAAGTTATTTATATTTTGTTTCTACCCTCAGTGAGAAAATTGGTAGTTTAATGTATATACTCAGAGATTCTGTATTTTTCACCAAAATTTTACAGGGTAGAATTTATTAGATGAAAACTTAAGAAATGTTACCAGCATTAAAATTATCTCAGCTGCTCAAGAGTCATAATCACATCTAATATGACCATGTTACTGTTTTTTTGAACTTCATTTTCAGATCATAGCAATGGAACATTTAACTTGAAAGCTCTATCAGGAAGCTCTGGATATAAGTTTGGTGTTCTTGCTAAGATTGTGAATTACATGAAGGTAAGTACTTTTCTCAAATAACAAAAGTCCTATTTAACTTTTTGGCGAAAGAAGGGGATTAGGGTTTTCAGAAGTTAAATTTCTGTATACATTAAAATTGTACATTTTTAATATGTGCAGTTTATTATATGCCAATTATACCTTTAGCCTTTTACGTTATATTAATTTGGCATTGCAGCAAGTTACCAAAGTAAATTTAATCTGCATTAACTCAAGCGTACAATTTCAGCCCACCACTTCACTTCATAAGAGTGTGCCTAGGCAGTAGACATAGCACCTCTTAATGAAATTCAGGCTGGTAAAGCCAATGGGAGGATGTGATTAATTTTTCAGGATGTTACTTGAATTAATGTGAGAAGTAAAAAGTACTAGTTTGGGCAGATGGTGGTGATGGCTTCTCTGCATCTTGTGGGAGAAAATTAGACATTTATTGAGAGTCTTAGAAGAACATTGACTCACAAAAGAGTTAGAATTTAATGTTTGATGGAATATTTAGTATTTTTTGAATACTAAGTTTTGGTCATGTACGATTTTGACTTTGAGTCTTTTTTTTTTTTGAGACGGCCTTGCTCTGTTGCCCAGGGTGGAGTGCAGTGGCACGATCAGAGTTCACTGCAGCCTTGAACTCCTGTGGTCAACCGATCCTCCTGCCTTAGCCTCCCAAGTAACTGGAACTACAGACATGCACCACAATGCCTGGCTAATTTCCTTTTCTTTCTTTTTTTTTGAAATGGAGTCTCGCTCAGTTGCCCAGTCTGGAGTGCAGTGGCACGATCTCAGCTCACTGCAACCTTTGCCTCTTGGGTTCAAGAGATTCTCCTGCTTCAGCCTGCCAAGTAGCTGGGATTGCAGGTGTGTGCCACTACAGCAGGCTATTTTTTTTTTTTTTTTTTTTTTTTTTTTTTTTTTTTTTGAGACAGAGTCTTTCTTTGTCACCAGGTGCCAGGCTGGAGTGCAGTGGTGCGACCTTGGCTCACTGCAGCCTCGCCTCCCGGGTTCCAGCAATTCTTCTGCCTCAGCGTCTCGAGTAGCTGGGACTACAGGGGCATGCCACCACGCCCAGCTAATTTTTGTATTTTTTGTAGAGTCGGGGTTTCACCATGTTGGCGAGGGTGGTCTTGATCTTCTGACCTCGTGATTTGCCTGCCTTGGCCTCCCAGAGTGCTGGGATTACAGGCATGAGTCACTGCACCCGGCCAATTTTTTGTATTTTTAGTAGAGATGGGGTTTCACTGTGTTAGCCAGGATGGTCTCAATCTCAGCATCTTGTGATCTGTCTGCCTCGGCCTCCCAAAGTAGTGAGATTACAGGCATGAGCCACTGTGCCTGGCCATTTTTTTAGTTTTAGGAGAGAAGAAGTCTCACTGTGTTGCCCCAGGCTGGCCTCGAATTTGTAAGCTCAAGTGATTTTCCCACCTCAACCTCCCAAAGTGTTTGGCTTACAGGCATGAGCCACTGTGCCTGACCAGAGGCTTTAAATCTTAACTAAATTTATTAAAATGAATTTCATTTTTAGCTAAGATGGCTAAGTAATTTTGAATTTGCTCCCCTCTTCTGCCAAACTCTTATTCCCATTTAGTTACTAGTTGCATCTCTTGAAAAAGTCGGACAGTACTGTAATTGTTATTTTAATTTCTTCCATCTATTGCTTAAAATAAGTCAGATTTTTAATTGTGCTAAGACTTTTCTTTTGTAACTTAAGAGACTTGGTATCTAGCTAAGTCTAAATTCTGTGGCATGTATTTGAGTTATAGTATAAATATGTTAGTTTATAACTCCCCATTATTAAATATTTTGACACAGTAGTATTCACAGTTCATTCATTTCCCCACTTGGTAAACAGTTATGAAAGTCTACTCTTTGCTATTTATGGCATAAATGGTGGGAATTCCCAGAAAAAAGTGCCCACCCTCAGAGTTGTCACTCTGTTGAGGGAGACTGACTTTTGAGTGCCATGTTATTTATGGCATAAATGGTGGGAATTCCCAGAAAAAAGTGCCCACCCTCAGGGTTGTCACTCTGTTGAGGGAGACTGACTTTTGAGTGCTATGTTTTTGCTATTCTGTTAATATGGTCTTTACTCCCTAGGTGGCTTCCTTATAACCTTGTCTGTCTTAGAACAGTGAACTTCAGAATTTTTACTCGAGTTACCTAAAACAGTTTTGAAAAACTGTGTACCCCTTTGTACATATTTAAGTTGATAACTAGATGATGTTAGTAAAAGCTTAAATAGTGGCATTATTCAAGCAAAAAAATTATTATTATTATTTTTTTTTGAGATGGAGCCTCGTTCTGTTGCCCGGCTTGAGTGCAGTGGCACAATCACAGCTCACTGCAACCTTTGCCTCCCAGGTTCAAGTGATTCTCCTGCCTCAGCCTTCTGAGTAGCTGGGACTATAGGCATGCACCCAGCCAATTTTTGTGTTATTTACAGAGACGGAGTTTCACCATGTTGGCCAGGATGGTCTCTATCTCTTGACCTCGTGATCCTCCCACCTTGGTCTCCCAAAGTGCTGGGATTACAGGCGTGAGCCACTGCTCCCGGCTCAAGCAGAAATTTAAAAGGTGACGAGAAATATGGAATTACTGGTATATTGTAGTATTTCAACAAAATACATCACTTTTAAATTTATCTAATGTAATCTAAATGCCATTATTAATTTAAAAGTATAGAAACAAACTACCTTAATGATTGGGAATTTTAATTAATTTTTCTTTGAATTTGTTTGTCCCATCTGTTACTCCCTTTGAATTTTATCCCAATGTTAGGTATTTTTATCTTTAAAATCATCCATCAAACTTTCCTGTCACAATAATTTGTAAATAAGTTAAAATTTAAAATGTTTTTCCTATGAGCATAAAACCTTAAGTGTTAAAAAATGACTTATGGTTTGAGTTATTTTTACATTTAGTATTAGTGCACAGTTGATTAGCTTAACATACATAGATTAAAGTTTTGATTAAATTCATCTTGTATCAGAAATTTATTCTTTAATGAAATGAATGCAGTTGTCTCCTCTCTTCTTTCATTAGTTCTTGTGTTTGGCAGATCTGTTCCTCTATTGAGATTTTGTAGATTTTAAGTGCTTAGGCATAGTTGTTCAAATATATAAGTTAATTCTAATGGAAATTTTATGATATCAAAATCTCCCAAGTTATATGTCAAAAATCACTAGTGATTTCATCATGCATCTATCAGTCAATACTTGCAAAAGAATGGAAACCACCCAACTTGCCAAAGGATTTGTTACCTAGTGCTTAACCATTTATTTTCTTAGCTTCTAGGAAGCATATCAAAAAGGCTTTAGCAAGACTTATTAAATGTCTTATATCAGTTCCCCTCCTTCCCTGCATAGATACTTTCTTTAAAATCAGAAGCAGTTGAGAAAATAGAAGTACTATTAATGTTAATAAAGCTTTGCTGTTTTTTTTGATTAAAATTATTTTATTTGTTTAAAATATATTTTTGTGAAAACCTTTAGGATGGAGGTTTAGCTTACTCAATTTTTAGAAAATATCTCCTTGTTAACAAAGCCAGTCTCCATTGTCAAACCAACTAGCCATAACAAACTTGATTTGAATCATAAAATTTTCCTTCATTTTAAATTTCAAATAAATAGATTAACAGATATTTGGGATAATATGAAAACCATTGAGGAATAAATTGTAGAATGCATACTAAAATATATTACTAAGGTATTTGAGATGAAAATTATATGACTCAAAAAGAATTACAGTAATTTGTTTTTATAATAAGTTAAAAAACATATGCTGCTTATGTTAGATTAAAAATTAAATAAGTAAAATATGAAGCAAGGGATATGATAAAAGCTGTGTTATTCCTTTATTTATTATTTTCTAGACAGAGTTTTACTCTGTCACCTAGGCTAGAGTGCACTGGCACCATCCTGGCTCACTGCACCCTTGACCTCCTAGCCTCAGGTGATCCACCCATCTCAACCTCCCCAGTAACTGGGACTACAGGCATGTGTTACTATGCCTGGCTAGTTTTTGTATTTTTTTGTAGCGTCAGTATTTCACAGTGTTGTCCAGGTTGGTCTTGAATTCCTGGGCTCAGGGGATCCCTCAAGTGATCTGCCTGCCTCAGCCTCCTAAAGTGCTGGTATTACAGGCGTAAGCCGCTGGATCTGGCCTGTTATTCCTTGTTAAATGTGTGTTCCTACGTCTTCTGATCTCTGATCTCAGCTATTAGGTATAAATAAAAGCAAATGAATCAGAAATAACTTTACATTTTTATTTTGGGTACTTAATGAAAGAGAAAGATACCTGCTGCTTACAGCTACTCATTATTACAGCTAGCATATCTTGTTTTTTGTTAGTAGAAGATAGAAATATTAAACTGTTGAAAAGCTATGAGAATTGACTAATTAGAATAAAACTTTAATGATATTATTTGACAAAATAGGTTTTAACTATTTTTATCTGTGACTCTCACATAGCACAATTTGAATGACACGGCAGTCCTGGAAAATATTTCTGTTATGTTTAAAGGAGTCAGGCTCCCTAATTGATATTGTTTCAGCTCTCTGAATAGCTTTTTCTTCTAGCTAATAAATACTCAAGAAATGAGTTTTGAGTTGCATATATTTAAATTCTTGGCCCAGTGCAGTGGCTCACGCCTGTAGTCTCAGCACTTTGGGAGGCTGAGGCAGGTGAATGACTTGGGGCCAGGAGTTTGAGACCAACCTGGCCAACATGGCAAAACCCTGTCTCTAATTAGCCTGGTGTGGTGGTGCATGCCTGTAATCCCAGCTACTTGAGAGGCTGAGAATCACATGAATCTGGTAGGTGGAAGTTGCAGTGAGCCAAGATTGCACCACTGCACTCTTGAATGACACAGCCTGAATGACACAGCAAGACCTTATCTCTTAAAAAAAAAAAACCAAAACTTGAAAAAATATGTCTTTTTATATATCTATTTTTTTTAAAACCAGTGTTCTCTTTGCATTGCTTTTATCATATTCTCCCCTAAGAGCAAT